TAATGTGTAGCGTTTGTAACTTGCGTGGCCTGAGCGGCCTGGTTGCGGGTTTAGTCCTCGTTTCTAAGCCGAATGCATCTTTTGAAATTCCTTCTTCAGCGAAATGCTGCCGACCACTTCAGTTAGTTCCCGGAGCCAGGGCAATGGTGTGCTGAGCCCCAGGGATGCCGCGAGGCACACAGCGGGAGCGAAGCGCTACAAGTACTTGCGGAGGCTCTTCCACTTCCGACAGATGGACTTCGAGTTTGCTCTTTGGCAGATGCTTTACCTGTTTACTTCACCACAGAGGGTTTATAGGAACTTCCACTACAGAAAACAGACAAAGGACCAATGGGCAAGAGATGATCCCGCTTTCTTAGTACTTCTCAGTATCTGGCTCTGTGGTGAGTGCAAGGGAGTTGCATAAAAGGGAGGGAGGGAAAGTTTTGGGATGGACATTCCTGACCCTTCTAATAATACACACACAAAAGGACCAATCTGTATGGATTATCTTATCTTTTAGTCAAAGTTGAATAGCAGAAAGTGACCTAACTATTTGGAAGTTGAAGCGGGAATTTGGAAATGGAGGAGGCAATTAATACTATTAGTCTTGAATTATTCTATTGCAACTCATTTCCTATTGCATTTCAAACTATGTAGTTCCTTGTAACTTTACAGACAGTAATAAAATGCCATGCCATACAGCAGTGCTTTACTTAAAAAATACTAACATTTGGTTTATCTGAACATTACAGATAAAACACTGTCTTTACAGTAAAGACCCTAGTGAGATGCTGCGTATCGCAGAATTAAGCTGGGAACAAAGCCTTTTGTGTAGTTTTTAGACTGACCTGCAAATATAGTGAGTTTTATCCTAGTCGTCTTCTGTTACCTAGCACATTGCTGTTAGTAATACCAAAACTGTTAACTCTGAACTATCACCACACACATGGTTTGGAGCTTTTATAAACAGAAGTATATTCTATCGTAGTGTTGTGTGGCTTTTTTAAAACAGAGTTTGGGTAGAGCAATAGAATTTGCTGTTACACTGATAAGCCCAAGTACAGATAAGTGTTCTCCAATTTGTGAAGGGAATTATATTTTGAATAAACACCCTTATGCTTAGTTTTCGGTGGGAAAAAAAAATGAGTTGTTGGATTGAAAATCTCGGGAAGAAAAATAAGAAGGAAGCTTGACATTTTGTAAGAGTATACTCAAATAGACATACTGGTTTAAGATCACATGCTTTCTTTTCCACCGCTAACTTTAAAAACCTCATTCTCCTTTCAGTGTCTACTGTAGGATTTGGATTTGTGCTGGACATGGGGTTTTTTGAAACAATAAAGCTGCTACTTTGGGTTGTATTCATCGATTGCGTAGGTGTTGGCCTCCTGATTGCAACTCTGATGTGGTAAGTAGCAAAGGCTGAAACAGAGTTCAGGATTGCTAATCAGACACGGGTTGTCCTCTGCTGTCTGCATGACACTTGATTCTCTGGGGCAACATTATAAAGTATGTATTGAATATAGGTTTTGTGCTGTCATGGTAATTGTTTCAAAATGTTGCTTTGAAAGAGGATATCTCTTTTTCTTTACTATTATTTCCTGCAAGAGATGAATGCTCAGAAAGTCTGTATTGTGGTGAACATTTCAACTTGTTTTCTTTCTTCTTGTGCTGGTTATTCTTCAGCAGTAATGCCAAATCAAGAGTATGGTGATCAAAACCAATATTAGTGTATTCCTTATTTTAGTTGAAAAGCTTAGGTAATGTAAGCCTGAGGATGACTATGTTTAAGTAGGGCAGTACATAATTGGCTCTTGCTTCTTTCTGATGATTTTAGCTATTTCCACTACAAGCAATATTGGTTCTATTTTGTGCATGTTTGCTGGTCGCTGCTGGTTTTAGCCTGGAATGTCCAGAGACTTAAAGAAGGGGAGAGCCATAGGGAGTAAGTTTATAATCTGGGCCTAAGCACATCATAGGTGTGTCCCACACCTGTAAGGGAACCATGAAACAGTGGGGAGTCACTGTTTCTGTGCTGTAGCAAGGAGAGGGGAACAAAGAAAACATTCTTATTTTACCAAGAACATAGGGATATAAAGAAGTTCTCAGGAACAGAGCTGACATCTTAAACCAATGCCAGTGGGAAAAAGGGTATTCCTTTCAAAACAATGATCTCAGGAACTCCCATTTGTAACTGCAAAATTCAGGATGATGCACATACCAGAACTGAAGCTGACAGATAAAAGGTCCCTCTGACCTACTCTGCTGTCTGGCCCAGGAACTCATAAATTGGGGAAGAGCACAAACTAATTCTTCCTTGAATCCTCCAGTGATTCATGACTCTGGATGCAGTCTCCTGAACCAGAAAGACTTTCAGCATCTGCTGGTTCTCCTCTGTCCCTTAGTCAGCTTCCTGCAGGCCTCGCTAGCCATCACCTGGCTTCAGCTTGGTTCAAGTCCCTTCTTTCAGTGCAGGATCACCTTCTTTCCAAAAGCTCCCCCTGTTCCTACTGAGTCTGAACCCCTTCTTGTCTTTCTCCACCTTGCACCCAGGCTCTGCCTCCTTGTGACCCTGCCCTTGGCATAGAAAATACATCAGAGGAAGCTACCACAAAAGCCCTGGTCTCTTAAGTTCTTATTTCTGAGCATGTAGTGACTTCTTGTTCCTCTTATAAATAGAATAAGTTTTCTGATGTCAGCAGAACTTCAGCTGGAGAAAACAAGGTCTTGAATCTTGTTCCTCAGCCTGTCACACCAGGCAGCGCTCATTCTGTTAGCACTTGTCTTCAAGAAGAATGGGCTCACCTTAAGTGTGCTGTCCCTGCCCTTTTTCTGTGCTTGCAGCAGACCAGTTCTGTGAGGATGAGTTAAACCACCTCTGCAGGAGGCGTGCCGATCATGTACGGGCACTTCTCCGAAGTCACCTCCTGCGTGCAACCCAAAGAACTTGTGACTGCGGCAATAAGTTGTAGCACTGATTGGTTTAAAACAAAGCTTTGTTTCTGTGTTACCAGGAATGTGTCTCAGCTGCCTCTTGAATGCAAGGGGCATAATTACAGTTTTAACAAAAAGATTTTGGCAATAGTCTGACCTGCATAATCCTTGCATATTTTCTCCTAGATAGTGGAAACTTCATCAGGGTAGAGCAAGGGTCACATGTGGCTTATTGTCTTAAACCAATGCTTTGTTGGTCAGCTCTATGGGCACATTAACAACGTTCTCAATTGTCTTCTCATGTAGGTTCATTTCTAATAAGTACTTGGTGAAGCAGCAGAACAGAGACTATGATGTGGAGTGGGGATATGCTTTTGATGTGCATCTGAACGCTTTCTATCCACTTCTAGTCGTTTTGCATTTTATCCAGCTGTTTTTCATCAACTGTAAGTAGAATATTTTGGGTACTCTGCTTCAGAATCATGCTGTGTCACAACAGCTGAGAGCAGTGGTCTCTTCCAGATGTCATCATATCCGATTCTGTCATTGGGTATTTTGTTGGGAATACATTATGGCTGATTGCAATTGGCTACTACATCTATGTGACATTCCTAGGATACAGTGGTGAGTAACGGCAACTTCTTTTCTATTTGACTAAAAACAAGAGCATGATTTCAGCCTATTAATTTGTAAAGCAGAGACTCAGCTGGGTGTTGAAGTAGTTCTGTCTTCATAGTGAAAGATAGAAATTTACCAATCCCTGTGTCCAGCTGTGTGGACATCTTAACTGAAAAATTATATTCCTTGCCATACAAGCCCTGTATTAGCCCTGTAGCACAACAACTTGTTTTTGCAGTTCCTCTGTAAATCCAAATCATTTGCATTGTATAAAAACTCTGTAGTGAGTTTAAGACAAAACATTTCCCAGGGTGTTACCTCTCCCAGTTACCTCAAGTACTCTCTGACCTATGATGGTGGTAGGACTCGTAGGGCAGAGACGACAGCAGAAATCAGGCAGAGTGGCGCTGGTTTTTCTCGCTGTCTTCCCCCACAGCCGTTCTACATGAAGCACTTTCCTGTTTCTGTTTCAGCGTTGCCCTTTTTGAAGAACACAGCTATTCTTTTGTATCCATTCGCCCTTCTCATCCTGCTCTACTTGATCTCCTTGGCGTGTGGATGGAACTTCACCAAAATGCTTTGTTCCTTCTATAAGTACAGAGTGAAATAAACCCAGGACTTCATGCATCTAATGTTTATTTTGGTTTATCTTGGCTGTCTTGACAGTAAAGAAAAGAGCATTTTGTAAATGGTTGTAAATTTCTCTTTATTGTAGATAATTGTGTAAAAAAGTTTGAAGTGTCCTTTTTTTTTATTAAAATATTTACAACAGTAAACATGTTAGCAATTTGTTCAAATACTTTTGCAGTACATTCCTAAAACCAAGTTACTTGTACATCTCTGTAGCTTAACTGCATCAAGTCTATTTAGCATAACTCTTACTGCAGCTATTTTGCACATACTGGCATAAGCTCTACATTATGAGGGTTTTAAGTGACACCAAAAAGCAGTTTTGTTGAAGAATAATATTGGAATACCTTGCCTTGGGATTGGGTGAATGTACGGATCACTGTAGTATTGCAATGGTAAAGCAACAGCTGTCTCTATATATGAAACTGTCCCTTCCTTTCATGAAAGAACTTGAGAACAGGTTTATTTTTGTGACTACTTCAAATACGCATGGACAACTCTGGCACACAGAAGAAACAGTGATGAAAGGCACAATTAACATGACCCCTATCAGGTTTCCAAATATAGCAGCAAGTTTTTAAACCAGTCTCTATTCTAACATCCACCCTTACACGTGGCAGGTCCGTGAGCACAGAAGGAAAGTACAAGTTTCATTTGGCTACAAGGGTGGGCTCATGGCAATGCCTGCAGCTGTAAGGGCCACAAGCCAGGGGTATAAACTGACCATCTCAAATGCTACCTTCTGGAAAAGGGAGATGACAACTTCCCAAAGCAGTGTTCAGTATGAAACATGAGCACTAGGATTCAGTTTCCAGAACAACACAAGAATAAACAGGTTACAGTAAGACATAATATTTCAATATCAGAATTTGATCTTTAAGGAAGGACTATATTTATCTTAAAATACCAAATATGCTGGCAGTGCATCTTACAGTACTCTGTGTTTCAGCCACTGATAAGGCTTGAAGAGAATCATGTTCTTCTCTCAGCAGATGCTGAGTAACCCTTTTAACAAGGAAAGCACTGATCCATGGAAGGCAAAGGATTACATTTAGGACCTGCTCCCACCCTGACTACTGGCACAAGCTCCTGGCCTGCAGGCAGCTGCAGCCCAACTGTACACCTTTTCCATAACAGGAATTCAGCACCAGTGATCACTCTGTTCACTTCAGCAGTGAAAATACTTCATACATAGTGTCCCGTGGTGCCATATCAGTGAAATCAATGAAGGACTTGGGGCTTGTGTACCTTCCCTTTAGGAATATCAAAGTTTGTCCCTTTGAAGAAAGACTTCATCTGTCTCAAAATTAAGCTACTTCAAAAGTTCCAGCAGCTCACTGTTTACAGCAGAAATCAGCAAAACCCTTAAGAGGCCACTGAGGTCAGAAAGTGACACTCAAAGACCAATTTCTTCAGTCACCAATCTATGCTAGCCTGAAAACACCAGTTATTTGATTGATTGATAGCCTTTCAGCATTATGCTGGTGATTGCAAAGATGATTTAAAAACACAAGGGCATTTTCCCCTTCCTACTACAGTTACTCGCTTTAGCTTTTTCAGAATACATAGTTCCTACTAAGAACAAATGTAGAACCTAGGGTTAACTTATTTCAGGGGGCCAAGGTTTGTTCTCCCCACCTGAAGACTAAAATGGTATTGTCCAAGTTGGAAGCAAACTACAAATTACTACAATACTTCATCTGGAGCAAATATTTCCAACAAAACCCAGAGATTGCTGAAAAGATAATACACTTACTTACTTAGGAAAAAAAATGAAGGAAAAATGTCACACAGTTTTCAGTTTTGCCAAAGACTAATTGTACTCCAGCCCATTCAAGGAATTGTGTATCACATGGGCGAAGTATAAATGGCTTTGCTCTAAACCACTGCTTTTGAAACATTTTTAAGTATTTGTACAAGCAGCAATAGGACAGAAGAGTCCAGTCTTTGACTGGTCCATGAATCATATACTTTATCTGTTGGAATTTTTCTAAGCCACCTTTCAGTTAAGAAAAACCAAACGTATCTATAGGTATATTTTCTATAGATACAAATGCATGGTTGAGATGCCTGCAAAAGCGCTAAGCCTTACACAGTGCTTTAAAAACACTCCTTAATTAAAAAAAGAAAAATAAAAAGTGCTACTTTGGGATCACATCCTGATCACGTTATTTACAAAGCTTTCAGGAGGACTACCCACTGAATAAGCAAAGCAAGGTCATATCAAGTCTTTTCTATTTCCTTGCTCCAGAGCAACCCTCCTCAGCTTGGAAAAGCCAGCACTCATACCAGCCAGCCTGTTTGGCATCCAGTGTGAGAAGCTATGACTAATTTGCTCAGATAATAAAGGTTTCTGGTAATGCCTTTGGCTTCACAAAGTTCCCTTTTCTGGAGCTTTAACAGCATCAGAAGGAGCTGAACAGGTATATGGGATCATAGGATAATGCAGTTTATTTTGAAACACTTTCCATGACTTCATTACTATAAGATTCAGTGGCCTAGAGGGGATTTGTAAGGCCAAAACAAAAATACCTCGAAAATAAATACAGGTAGGAAAAAACTCCCCAAATATCAGGTAATAGGTTTAAGATGCTGAGGAACTGTTGTGGTAATACTATAAGTTACAACCGAGACGTGTAAGAGACACCAGTCCCTCTGGTGCACACCCACCATAAACAGTGCCCAAGCTAATGACTGCTGAGCCAAAGCATTCCCATTTCACTGTAACTCCAGGAAGGAGACGTGCACCACTTAACCCAGACTTAAGGATTGGAATTCGAAAGGCAGAAAGCCCAAAACAGCTGTCTGCAGAAATAAGTAGATAGAAAACATTTTCCCTGCTTTTTCTACTTCTCAACAATATCTCTGAGGAAATATGCGGAACTATCTGATTACACCAGGTCTGAATTTACAAAACATCATTTGTATTAATGTGGCACATTTATTTAGAGAACATAAAAGCTCAGGAACATTTAAAGTGTTAGAGCAGCCTGGAGTATTTCCAACTCCTGCTAGTATGATGTAATAAAAATGCAACAATCTTTAGAAAAACCCTCACATATTTTGCCAAGCACGAGTTAGTTTGTTGTCTTTGATAAATTTCATCTCACCATTTTGGAAAACTAAGTATACTGTTAACCAGAGTCCTACAATCACTGTGGTCAGGGTTCTGTGTATTTAAATTCACTAGCAATGATTCACCTCAACTAGTGTGAAACATCAAGAACAGCGTTACTTGGAGAATAAGCATACAGCTTGCTTTAATAAGTGGTACCAGTAAACTTTTGAACTCATGGAAAAAGAAGAGAGTCACTGTCAGCAAAACTACTTCTATTAAGAACTGCAGTGTCTAACATATTTCTGCAATCTAAGTTGTAATAAATAGCTAGGGTTTGAATTACATCATTCATTCACAGGCACAGCTGAGAAGAAAACCTAAATACTTGCTTAGACCTCTGCTAGGTAACGTGTGATAAAAAGCCATCCCATGGCAATGCTTTGATGGTATGGCATCATGTACGACAAGTGGGGCTGTGGCATCCCAACAGGTTAGATTCAACACAGGAGTCAGAGCCTATTCATCCACATTCCTAAATCCAAGAATAAACCCTGTTTATGAGGCCATTGCTCAGCTTATGCCCACAGTCTTTATGGGCAAGGCGAGCTTTCCAAATAACATTTTATTTACACCATCCAATGCAATCCAAAAATGTAAGCAAGGCCTGCCTGGTAGCTTTCTACATTCCTTCAACTTATACCAGCTATTCTACACAGAAGGTCTTATCTCTGTGTACAAACCCTGTCTTCCCTGTGTCCCCAGACAACATAGCTAAAACTAAATGGCTACAGTCTGTAGAAGTAGTTAAGCTCTAGGATATTTCTGAACTGTCAAAGCTACAACACAATTTTCCAACAAGGCAGATGGAAAGACAGGTTGGCTGTGTATCCCAGTGGTGATGGCTTGCAGTGCCAGGGAGTCACATTTAGGCTCCTGCTCCTTATGAATGTCATGAAAAAGAAGCTAAATCTGTTAGTCAAACTTTGATGCTGGAGATAAGAATTCAAGACCCCTGCTCTAGACCAGGGACCCTGCAACAGGTTTTGTGTACCTGTGCCCTGCCCACAAAGACCTTAAAGGTCTTTTCCAAACTAAGTGACTCTATGTTGGTGATAGTGGAAGGGTTTTTTTCCACAGGGAAAACTGGGCCAGCTTTCAAAATGTCAGTTCCAGCAGGTTGGTTCACAGCACAGCAGGGAATCCCTTGGGGCCAGGGTAGATGCCTCCCTCCAGTGTCAATCAGGCACTTTGTTTGTATTTAAAGAGAGGAATTTCTGCTCTTCCTGACCATTTCTGACTGGGTACCTTAATTCTTCCCACGCCCATGTCCTTACACATAAGTACCTAAGCAGAAGGACTTTGAAGAGCAGTGGCATCACTAGTACTGCAACAATTCCACTCTAGATGTAATCCAAACCACTTTCTGTTCCTGCCTGAGTTTCTGATCCATTTAACATCACTGTTGTTTCCCTTGAAACAAAAAAGCAGGGTACTAACTTGAGGCTAAATTCAGTTCCTATTAATAGTCAGCACAAATTAGAACACTGATCAATAAAAGAGTCAAACAGAAATCTCATTCTTGAACAATGGAAAAAAATCATAGAATCATAGAATTGTTAGGGTT